GAGAGAGAGAGAGAGAGAGAGAGAGAGAGAGAGAGAGAGAGAGAGAGAGACGGCGCGGCGAAGACGAAGATGACGGGGAGGAGGAGGTGGAGAGAAGTAGAAGACGACGGCGAAAAGAGGAGGAGAAGGAGAAGGAGAAGACGAAAAAGAGGAAAGGAGGAGGAGGAGGAGGAGGAAGAGGAGAGAAGAAGAAGAAGAAGAAGAAGAAGAAGAAGAAGAAGATGACGGGAAGGAGGAGGTGGAGAGAAGATGACGGGGAGGAAAGGAGGAGGAGGAGGAGGAGGAGAAGGAGAAGAGGACGAGAAGGGAGGTGTAGGAGGTGGAGGTGGAGAGAAGAAGAAAAAGATGAGGAAAGGAGGAGGAGGAGGAGGAGGAGGAGAAGGAGAAGAGGACGAGAAGGGAGGTGCTTGCGTGGCTGCTGCGCGACGAAGACGAAGAGGACGGGGAGGTGGAGGTGGAGAGAAGTAGAAGAAGACGACGAAAGGAGGAGGGGGAGAAGGAGAAGACGAAGAAGACGAAAGGAGGAGGAGGAGAACGAGGAGAGAAGAAGAAGAAGAAGAAGAAGAAGAAGAAGAAGAAGAAGAAGAAGAAGAAATTTCAAGAAATCAAGAAGAAGAAGAAATTTCGAGAAATCAAGAAGAAGAAGAAGACGAAAAAAAAACGAAAAAAAAAGGTCGCGCGTGCTGATGTGGCAGCCGCGCGACGATCGGACTTCAGGACGAGGACGACATGGAGGTGTAGGAGGTAGAGGAGGAGGAGGAGGAGGAGGAGGAGGAAAAGAAGAAGAAGAAGAAAAAGAAGAAGAAGAAGAAGAAGAAATCAAGAAGAAGAAAGAAAAAAAAAACGAAACAAAAAAGGTCGGGCGTGCTGACGTGGCAGCCGCGCCACGACGATCGGACTTCGGGAGGAGGACAGGGAGGTGTAGGAGGTAGAGGACGAGGAGAAGGAAGAGGAGGAGGAGGAGGAGCAGAGGAAGAAGAAGAAGTGTGTGTTTGTGTGTGTGTGTGTGTGATGATGATGATGTGTGTGTGTGTGTGATGATGTGTGTGTGTGTGTGTGTGTGTGTGTGAGAGAGAGAGAGAGAGANGAGAGAGAGAGAGAGAGAGAGAGAGAGAGAGAGAGAGAGAGAGAGAGAGAGAGAGGTGCAGAACGAGGGAGGGGGAGGAGGAGGAGATGCAGGAGGAGGAGAGGAAGAAGAAGAAGATGCGCGTGCTGACGTGGCTGCCGCGCGACGAAGAAGAAGATGACGGGGAGGAGGGGGTGGAGAGAAGATGACGGGGAGGAAAGGAGGAGGAGAAGGAGAAGAGGACGAGAAGGGAGGTGTAGGTGGTGGAGGTGGAGAGAAGAAGAAGAAGATGAGGGAAGGAGGAGGAGGAGAAGGAGAAGAAGAAGAAGATGACGGGGAGGAGGAGGTGGAGAGAAGATGATGGGGAGGAAAGGAGGAGGAGGAGGAGGAGAAGGAGAAGAGGACGAGAAGGGAGGTGTAGGTGGTGGAGGTGGAGAGAAGAAGAAGATGAGGGAAGGAGGAGGAGGAGGAGGAGAAGGAGAAGAGGACGAGGAGGGAGGTGCTCACGTGGCTGCTGCGCGACGAAGACGAAGATGACGGGGAGGAGGAGGTGGAGGGAAGTAGAAGAAACGACGAAAGGAGGAGGAGGAGAAGGAGAAGACGAAGAAGAGGAAAGGAGGAGGAGGATGAGGAGAGAAGAAGAAGAAGAAGAAGAAGAAGAAGAAGAAGAAGAAATTTCAAGAAATCAAGAAGAACAAGAAGAAGACAAAAAAAAAACGAAAAATAAAGGTCGCGCGTGCTGACGTGGCAGCCGCGCGCTGATCGGACTTCAGGACGAGGACGACATGGAGGTGTAGGAGGTAGAGGAGGAGGAGGAGGAGAATGAGGAGGACGACGAGGAGGAGGAGGAGGAGGAGGAAAAGAAGAAGAAGAAGAAGAAGAAGAAGAAATCAAGAAGAAGAAGAAAATGAAAGAAAAACGAAAAAAATCATGTCGCGCGTGCTGACGTGGCAGCCGCGCGACTTTAGTAGGAGGAGGACATGGAGGTGTGGGAGGTAGAGGAGGAGGAGGAGGAGTGGGAGGAAAAGAAGAAGAAAAAGAAAAAGAAGAAGAAGAAAAAGAATGTCGACCGTGCTGACNAAACGTCGCGTGTGCTGATGTGGCAGGAGGAGGAGGGGGAGGAGGAGGAGAACGACCACGACGACGAGGAGGGGTAGGAGGAAAAGAAGATGAAGAAGAAGAAAAAGAATGTCGACCGTGCTGACGTGGCAGCCGCGGGACGACGGTCGGAGTTGATGAGGAGGAGGAGAGGGAGGAGGTGGAGGAGGAGGAGGAGGAGGAGGAGGACGACGATGAGGGGCCGCGGGGACTCACCTGACAGCGATGGGCGCCGGACATGGCAGCAGGCGATGCGAGGGTAGTTTCGATTCGAATTCGAAACTGACCCTTCGCCCCCTGCTCCTCTCCCTGGACCCGATTCCCGCGCCCTCGCCCCCCCCACACGGATGACCACCGGCCCTCAGGCCCTCCGAAGCCCCGCCGGCGACCGGTACCGGCCCGGGCTGAACCCGTTCGCGGGCCTCGAGAACACGTTCTCACGAACGTGTTCGCGACCCGTTCGCGCGAACTGGAGAACGTGTTCGCCCGAACGGGAAGGTCCGCGAACACGTTCGCCGTGCTACGCAGGTTGCCACTATCAATATTTGGATCATATTCAGATTTTGTTTTGTGTTATAAGCGTTGAATTCGTGCTTCTAAAGCTTTGGTTCTGACAATATGAAAATCTTGCATGTTATTGTTACATTTGTATTTTAAAATTTTAAAATTTTGAAAACCATGTTCGATTGCATTTATCATATGTTGCAAAACCTTCTTGAGGATGCATTCGTCGTTCTGCATTGCTGCCCTAGACATAAGATTAAGCATATTCAACATGATGTAATAATGTTTGTGCAACGTCATTGACTGGGACGGGTTCATGGCCACATARTCTTCGTTGTTTATTTTCTGAAGCTATTTCTACGTGTGCAGTGCTGATATCATTGCGTTGAGTCAGAGGTTTCAGACGCCCGTCACTACAGAGGCCACAATGAGGGTTGTCGTGGGTGGTTGTCCACGGGCGATTGACGTCTCAAGTAGGAGAGCAGCCGTGCAAGCGAATGTGCTCTCACGATGCCTCACACTCTCACAAAAGGCGATCCAGTTCTCAGAGCCATTTGTGCCGATTGTAGCAGCGGGACCTCAGTTGTGCGCGATACCGCAGCGGCTGCAAAATGGACCGGCTTCGGAAAGGGCAGGCACATTCAAGCAAAGCCAGATGGTAGCGAGATCGGGATACCATGGACGACCTTGCAGTGCAAGAGAAGCGCAAAGGAATGAGAGGTGTGTTGTATTTGGCATGTGTCGATTATCATTACAGGGGGTGAGCACCCCGAGATCTGGGCCTGATTCATGCTCTCGGTGTGCGTGGGCTGCGTATCGGTGGTCTCAGTCTTCTGTTTTTGGGTGTGTGGGAGGGCACGGGGGAGGGGAGGGATGCAGACTGTCCTCCTCCAGGTTCCCTTTGTCGGATTCAGAAGGACGGGGGAAACGAAGACTCAAGAGCAAGAGAAAGCAGGGTGCCATCATTCCCCAGGCAAAGAGAGGTGACARCATAGACTACGGAGATCRGATCATCGCATCARYGGCRTACTTCTTGCCCTTTTTGGACGGAGTGGATTACGGTCGCTATCTGTTGYGCGAGTTCCCGTTGATGCGAAAAATGATTASTCCTTTGGCGYCYGTTRTCTCAGTTTATAACTCCATTCCCTTCGGCAGCTTCATCSCCTTCTTCTTGCTTTACTTWGYCGTTGTGMAGAACACACGCTATTCCYGCTTCGTCCGCTTCAACACTATGCAAGCCATCACTCTCGACATCCTGCTGATTCTCCCTCGTCTCATCGAGCGATTAATCAGTCCCTCTAGTGGCTTTGCTATTCGCCTCTTCGTCATTTTCTACAACACGGTTTTCCTATTCTTATTAGCCAGTTTTGTATTCGGAGTCGCTTCTTGCATTTTGG